ACTACCCATTGCATCAAGCTTAAGTAGTAAAATGGGATTGGGGATATGGTTCAGTGGGTAGAGTGCTTACCTAGCATGCACCAAGCCCTTTTTGATCCCCAGCACTGCATAAAACTGCACAGTGGCACACACCTGTCATCCCAGCACTTGGAAGGTGGAGGCAGGAGGATCGGGGGTTTAAGGTCATTTTCGGCTACATAGTGAGTTCAGGTCAGCCTGGGGTACATGAGACATTGTCCTTAAAAAATGAAAAGAGGGATGGATGTGGTGGTGCACACATTTAATCTCAACACATGGGAGGCAGAGGCAGGTGGATCTCTGTGAGTTCGAGGCCAGCCTGGTCTACATAGCAAGTTCCTGGACAGCTGGGGCTACAGGGACACCCTGTCTCAAAAAATAATAATAATAATAAAAGAGGGGCCAGACAGATGGCTCAGTGGTTAAGAGCACACACTGCTCTTGCAGAGAACCTGAGTTCAATTCCTAGTACCTATGTCAGGTGGCTCACAACAGCCTGTAACTCCAGCTCCAGAGCATCTGATGCCCTGTTCCTGCCTCCTTGGGTACCTGCATGCATGTGCACATCAACACACACACATACACACACACACACACACACACACACACACAAATTCAAAATGAAATCTAAGGCCAGGTATAGTAGTAAACACCTTTAATTCCAGCATTTAGAAGGCAGAGGCAGGTGGATCTCTGAATTTGAGGCCATCCTGGTCTATACCATGAGCTCCAGGCCACCCAGGGCTACATATTGAGACCCTATCTACATAAATAAATAAATCTAAAAATAAAATAAAAAGAAGGAAAGAAAAAGGAAAAAAAAGTAATTTGTTAACACGTCACAGCAAGTACGAGTGCAGCTTAGAGTTGAAACCAGTTCTGACAGCAAAGCCAACGAACATAAGTATGTAAATATGTGCGCTGCGTGTTATGGAGTCCTTACAACAGCAATGGTCAGAGCTGCGCACATGGGGAAAGCTTGTGACAGCGAAGCCCTCAGAGACTATCAAGTAATACAAAGGATGGTCAGAGTATGACAGCGGGCACACACACACACAGTTACATCCAGGCTGGGTGTTGTCTGGGTCTGACCAGCAAAAAGAAGCCAAGGACGATCCAAACAAGACACAGTAATGAAAGACGTGCTCGTTTTAACAGGTGACCACAGTGGTAAGGGAGTACCTAGTAAAAAGAAAAGAGGACTCTAAAGAACACTGGAATAGCAGGTGTCAGGACTGGCCACTGCCCTGAGGACTGAACAGGAACCCGAGAGGACGTCCTCCCTGTCCAGCCAGGGGAGGCTGGCACCGAGGCAGGACAGGGAAATGGCTGAATGCAAGGCACTTTTGAAAACCATCTCTGCACCAGACGTGTAGGGAAGCGTGAAGCTTTCCTCCACACCAGTGCACCCCACACAGGCCTTGTACAACATCTCAACTCCCAGCTAGTGAGAATCCTTGTAGGGCCAGGGCTTTATCCGGTCCGGAAGCCACCGGTGCTGGTTGGTTTTAACTGTCAACTTGACACAGCCTAGAATCACTAGGAAGAGAGTCTCAATGGGCATTATCTCCATCGGGTCAGCTTATGGGCATGTCTGTGAGGGGTTATGTTGATTGTCACTGTGGGCAGCAACATTCTCCGGTTTGGAGCCCTGGATGGTGTAAGAATGAAGAAAAGGCCTAGCAGGCAGGCAAGGGTCCCCGGGCTCTCTGGACTATGGCTGTGATGTGTGATGCTCCAAGTTCCTGCCTTCCCACAATGACGCACTGTAACCTCGAATTATGAACCAAATAAACCTTCTCATCCCTGATGCTGCTTTTTGTCTGGGTATTTGTCATAGCAACAGAAGTTAAATTAGAACACCCCCTCAACACCAGCATATATACATTCAAGAATTTGCTTTTGAAATATGAACTCTAGACTCCCATTAAACTGTGTTTTTCCATTAATATTTTATTCTATTTTTTCTACTTTAAAAGCAAAAAAAAAATGTTGCAGGGAAAATGTAAAGGCGAATCAAAAGTGGAAAAATATCAACCATATTTCTGCTACTCAGATATAACTACTGCTTGTATTTTGGAGTATTTCTCTTTTTAAAGAAAGATTTCTTCATGGTGCTGGAGAGATGGCTCAGCAGTTAAGAGCACTGACTATTCCAGAAGACTCAGGTTCAGTTCCCAGCACCCACACAGCAGCTAACCACCATCCATAACTCCAGTTCCAAGGGACCTGACACCCTCCTCTGGCCTCTGTGGGCACTGTATAACATGGATGCACTTACATACATATGCACTTACATACATACACGAGTGTTTTGCCTGCATGCATGCAAGGGTACCACATGCATGCAAGGGTACCACATGCATGCAGTACCTGAGGATGCCAGAAGAGGGTGTCGGATCCTCTGGAACTGGAGTTACAGACAGTTGAGTCATCATGTGGGTGCTGGGAACTACACCCAGGTCCTCTGGAAGAGCAGGAAGTGCTCTTAACCACTAACCCATCTCTGTAGCCACCAGGAGTATTTATTTATTTATTTACTGTATGTAGGCACACACATCAGGACACATGTGTGGATGTCACAGGACAACTTAAGGAAGTCAGTTCTCTCCTTCCACCATGTGGGACTCTGGGACGGAACCGATGCCTTAACCAGTTGAGCCACATCACTGACCCCGCGTGGTTTTTTAACACATAGATGTACACATGTCACATACCTTGATTCCACATGAAATTCTGTATCCTGGGTTTCTTTCTTCCTTCCTCCCTTTCTCTCTCTCTCTCTCTCTCTCTCTATCTCTCTCTCTCTCTCTCTCTCCTCTCTCCTCTCTCTCTCTCTCTCTCTCTGAGACAGTGTTTCATATAGCCCAGGCTGGCCTCACACTATGTAACTGAGGATGACCTTGAACTCCTGACCCTCCTGCTACAGCCTCTCAAGGGCTGGGATAACAGGTGTGAATCACCACACCTAACTCATTCTGCATGTTTTACTCAACATAAAAAAAAATGTGCAGTTCCTCATCAATCTTTACAGAACAGTTGAATTTTAACACACACACACACACACACACACACACAGGCACTGATGTTGAAAACACCTTAAAACCTGAGTGCACATCTCATTCTGAAGATGTTAAATGTTTACTTAACCATCTGGAATTTTTAGAATATTTTTATTTTGAACAACCTCATAATGGACATGTACTTATTTTTGAGACAGAAAACCAAGACAGGCCTGACGCTTGCTGTGTAGTTAAAGATGACCTTGAGCTTCTGATCCTCCTGCTGAATGCCGGGATTGCCTGCATATGCAACCACACCCATGGAACTGGGTGGAACTGGGATTCCAACCCAGAGCCTCTAGTGTGCTGGCCAAGCACGCTGCCTCTGAGGCTCAGCCCCTCACCCCTGCTTACCTTTTTCCCTGGATTCAGTTACATGCCTCACGTGAAGTTAGTAAGGCAGATGGCACAAATGCATTTTAGGTTTCTGAAGAGAATTTAAGGGCAACAGTCAGCAGCCTCTAAACACAGAAACTGGTGACTTCTCCTTTTTCAGCAAGACGGGAGCCCGTAGCTCCTTTTATGCCCTGGGGTAGGACCTACAAGTACTTAACCTGGTACCCTCACTCCCTCCCCACAAACCACTGCAGAGGCTTATACTGCTGGGCCCTGAGCTAAGCAAGGAAGCTACTCAGTTAATGGCCTGACTGGACTGCAGACCCCTGTGTCCCTTCAGGGAGGGTACAGTGAAGGGTGACCTCCCTGCTTGGTCTGGGAGGCCGGAAGCAATAAAACTACAGTTCAGACCTTCCCAGGGCGGCAGGTGGGCCCTCCTTGCTGAGTGGTACTGCAGACCTCCCCAGGGGGGTCTCCCAGGCCCTGGGCTCCCTTCCTCATCCCTCCTTGGTGGGCTCGCTCCAAACCAGTCCAGGCCACAGCCTGGAGTCCAGGCCGCCTGAGATTGCTACTTTAACTATCAGACCCCGCCGTCTCCTCCGCACCTCTTTCCCCAGGCCCTGACCTTCCTTCTTACCCAGTCTGTCCTCCGACAGCGTTTTGCCCTCTCAAGTCCTCTTCCCTATGCCAGTCCCTCACTGCGCCCTACCTGCGTGAACTTTGCAGCAAGTGCGTCCCCTATCCAGCAGCCCTCGCTCACCATCCCACCTCACAAGGATGACCTGAGGCCGGCTAGAACCGGGTAACCAACCCCCTCGGGAGCATCCTGCCCGGGGCCCGGGACCCTGCATTCCTCCAGACCCCGCTCAGCTCCCCGCCCAGGACGGGGGACTCCGCTCAGCACCCGGCCCAGGTTAGGGGACCCCGCTCAGCACCCCGCCCAGTAGAGGGGACCCTGATCAGCAACCTGCCCAGATCGGGGACCCCGCTCAGCACCCTGCCCAGTAGAGGGGACCCAGCTCAGCAACCCGCCCAGACCGGGGGACCTCGCTCACCACCCCGCCCAGTAGAGGGGACTGTGCTCAGCATCCCTCCCAGGAGAGGGGACCCAGGCTCAGCACCCGCCCAGGACCAGGGACCCCATTCAGCACCCCGCCCAGGACGGGAGACCGTGCTTAGCACCCCGCTCAGCACCCCGCCCAGGACTGAGGACTCCGCTCAGCACCCCGCCCAGGACGGGGATCCCGCTCAGCACCCGCTCAGGACGGGGGCCCGCGCTCAGCACCCCGCCCAGGACGAAGGACTCGGCTCAGCACCCGCCCAGGACTGGGGACCGCGCTCAGCACCCCGCCCATGACGGAGGACCGCGCTCAGCACCCCGCCCAGGACGAAGGACTCGGCTCAGCACCCGCCCAGGACGGGGAACCGCGCTCAGCACCCCGCCCGGCGCGAGGACCAACTCGGCCACCCGCCGCCAGCCCTCACCAGAGCAACTCTTCCCTCTCGCACTTTCCCTACTTTGAACCCATCCCAGCGGAGTCCAGGAAGTAGCCTGGCTCCGGAGACGGGCGGTGGCGATGCCCAATGGGGAGCGCCAGCGGCGGCAGAGGCTCCGCCCATACGGCCAGCCCGGCCAATGAACGCGCGGAGGCGGGACTTCCGCCGAGCCGCGGCGGGCGGGGGAGCGCACTGTTGTGGTGCGGCGCGTCTGGCGGGCGGCGGCCGGGGCTGCCCAGGGGCTGC